GGTCTGATGGCTAATAAGTTTGCTTCTCGTGACAACTGGCGTCTCTGTAATATTGTGTTAAATAAATGTAAGTCTTCTATACCTTTCTCTCTTCAATAACAAACTAGATAGTTCTAATCTTCTACTGATAAATGTTTTGCATGTAATGAGAGTGACTCATTGCTCCTTCTCAAGGTTAGCCTTTTTTCGCAAACATGAAGTGAAAAGGTTTATTGAATTAATTGATAGGTTTGCTGCGGGAAAAGTTGATTCACTGTGTCGTTCTACACATTTTTTCCTCGCTAGAATATAACTTACACAATTCGTTCAAACTTTGAATATTGTTGTCACGCCAAATTTGGTATTTCTGTTTTGTATTTAGAGATCATTGATAAAATGCAAAGAGGAACCTGTAATGTTATCGGTCCTGTCCTGGGATCTCGCCGTCAACTCCTTTCTTACCGCCGTAATGTTTGTTGTTAATCATTGCCTTTTTTTATAATTATTTCCTGGTACATCGACTTTATGTTCTAGATTGGCAGCTAGGTCACATCATTTGATGGAAAATGCCTCGATGTAACCGTAAGTTCTATGCTAACAGTTTCTTCTCTCAAGCTTCTCGTTTGTGTAACTCTCTTCAGGTTTCTTGATTTCTAGTGAAAGTGTAATGTCAATTGTTATCTTTTGCCTTCTTAATTTCTGTTCTTTCATTGTTCTCTCCAGTTAATAGTATTTTCTACATAGGATAATTAAATATAATATCAATTCAGGCTTGTGTAGCGTAGATATTGTGACCGTAAAATTAAAAAGAAAATCATAACCGAGAATATTTCAGATTCTGGCATTTGTTTTAAGCATAGAAGCAGAAAGACGAGAGAAGGAAATATTTTGGAGTTACCTCTGTATGGTAAGTTACCAGCCATTTTACACTCACGTTGTTTTTCTCCCAACTGCAGTAAGCCATTGACTTCGCTGAAAACGAATTTAGCCAATGCGAACCTCTTTTTCTCTCTTTAATTTCCATTGGTTGTTAAATGGTCAATGTGGCTCGTCATATTTCAGTCTGTTTTAAAATTGTAAAGCTGGCTTGTTGGATCTTTGTGAGTGATTAATTATTATTGCCAGTTCATTAGAAGGTGAACGTTAGTTTCTACTAAAATGATTCAGGTATGTATATCATATTTTTCCTTTAGTATTTTTTAACGCAATGTCTCCAAATAAATGACAATGGAATAAAATTTGAATAATTTAATCCTATTCTAAAAAAAAAAGACAAGAGTGAAATCTATAGGGTTTACTTATTCGTTTTTATGGAAGAATTCAGTTACAAATCTCAAATGTTTAATGTGTTATCATTTATCTAATTAAATTTTTTGAATTAAGAGAAATTAGTCAATTAAAATTCAGTCAGGTAAGTTGAAAATTTTGCTTTTTATTATTCTCTTTTCGCACTAAAATCATTTTGTTTTTCACGCACACCCGCCAAAAAAACGAACATTGCATTTTTTCTTGTTTTGTCCGTTAAGAGTAAAGATTTAATTGTTTTTAAAGAACACCCATTCAAATATTTTTGTCATGGAAAATTTATACTGTGTGTGTGTGCATATCAATTTAAGCGTTATTTTTAGTAGATACGCGTATTTGAGTAGACGTCCGTTTATTTATTAAACAGTA